AATCCCGGCTAGAAAGTCAGCATCACAGTGTGGCGGGTGCGCCAAAAGGTAGGTCCGGCTACACAAATCTGAATGAAGGGTATCCCATCTGGTCCATCCGTATGAGGGTGCGGAGGCGGATAAGAATGTCGTCTGGATAAAGAATGCGTCTGTCGGGGGTGGAGGACCCGATGCCAGCGAGGAAGTCAGTTGGCCGGTTCCCCTCGCGGAAGATGTGCGAGATCCGGTAGCGAATCGACTGGAGAGTGGCTCTGCTGTGCATGAGAGGATGCTGGATCTGCCACGTGCCCTGATGAGATGACAGAAGAGTGATGACAGCGGCCGCGTCCAACTCTATCCAAATGTCAGAGGAGATCGAGTCGGCAATCTGCAGACCTATTTGAAGCGCCTGAACCTCCACGTCATAGCTCGAGGAGGCCCGAAGAGGGGCATGAAACGCGGCAATAAAGGTGCCGCTATGATCCCTAATCAGGCCCCCACCTCCTGCAACTCCAGTAAGTCGATTAAAGGCTCCATCAGTGTTTAGCTTAACCCAAGGCGACTCGGGTTTTGACCAAACAACAGCTCTGGGACGTGGATGTTGGACAGGCACCAGCGAAGGTGGTGCAAGGCAGTGAGATGGTGTGCAGCCTGTCCAGTCTCTCTGGGTGAGTCTGCCTAAAGCGGTGAGGAGGGAAAGATGTCGGTCAACCTGTACAATAATATGAGAAGACAAAAAAGGGTTATCCCTATGCTTCGCGTTATTCCTTTCTGTCCAGGTGGCCCAAAGGATCAGACAAGGAATAAGGAAGCTCACGTGTCTACTTTGTGTGCGGTGTCTGAAAAAACTCAGAAGCTCAAAGAATGTATATGTGGAGGGTAGGGGGTATGAGTGTAACTGGTATAATGCTCCCACACTCTCCTCACAGTCTCGCTCTCTAAAAACAGGTGAGTAAAGGTCTCTGTCTGAAAATCGTCAGTCTCGGCACAACAGTAGCAACGCGAGGGGAAGGAGAATCCCCTCGTCTGCATCACAGTATCAATCGCTAGGCGGTGCAAAAGGAGGCGCCAAAGGAAAACAGATATGGTAGGGGTAAGTAGGTCGGTCCAGATGGCCCCGAAGAGAAGGTTAGACCGGTCACCCTGCCATACTTCCCCCCAAGCCGAGGTCGTAGAGAATGCACCCGAAGATGTAAGCCTCCACCTCATACCGTCCAAACCGTCCTCCGAGATGGGAATCTGCTGGATCTCATCTATCACCTGATCACTAAAGCCCGCTCCAGTACCAAAAATCCTCTCTAGCCTATCCCTATCTCATTTCCCCTCCATTCACAGGTCCTTCACCTGTAGAAGGGGAAGGTGGGTGACCTGTCTAGTGCTCGAAAGGGGGCCCTCATCGAACCACCACTCATCCCAAAAGCTAACCTCCCACTCCCCCAGAGACCAAAAAATGTGCTCCTGAGCACGTCTACCAACCCTGGTGAGCCGCCTCCACTGCCTGCTATCGTGGGCGATAGCCGTCACCCGACAGGGATGGGCATCGCCTCCAGGAAAGTACTTCCTGTGAAGATACTGAGCCCAAAGTGACTTACCCTCCCTAAATCGCCACCACATTTTGTAAGAAAATGCAGTGACGACATACGAGAAATGCCAGATCCCGAGACCCCCCTCAGATAAAGGGCAACACACAGAGTCCCACTTCACCCAATGGACCTGTCTCCCTCTCCGAGAACCCTCCCCATGCCCCCAAAAATAACGGGCTAGAATCTGATCTACCTCGTGGATAGTAGACTAATGGGGATCAAGGACTGTAACAAGGTGAAGCGGCAGGGTGCTGAGGGTGCTCTTGATCAGAGCAAGCCGGCCCCCAAATGATAGGTGCTTGTGAGACCAACCGGAGATCCGATCAATCATCCTCTGTCTAACGTTAGAAAAAATCTCATGCGTGAGGTGGCCCTTGTACAAGGGGGAACCAAGGTAGGTGATGGGGAGGTCTCCACGCGCGAAGCCAGTGCGCTCATGGACCCAATGGTCCCACTGGTCCGCAATATGCTGATCAAGGGTGAAGGTGCTCTTTTGTACACTGACAAGCTGACCGGATGCCGAGGTATAGTGCCCCAGGAGGCGCATGAGCTCAGTCAGTCCATTATTATCCGCACGAGTGAAGATAATTTTTTTTTTCTCCCACTTAACTCACTTAATTTTTTTCTCCCCACTTTCTCCCGTCAATTTACTTTTCTTCTCCCTCACCTTCTCTCTCATCCTTCAGTTCTCATTTCCCTTCTCTATATTTTATCCCTTTTATAATCTTTTTCTTTCTCTCTTTCATTCTTCTGATTTTTCTTCCAACATTTATCCCATAGTTGCAGGTTTTCTTCTTTAATTTCTCATTTGGTTCTCTCTTTATTCTTCTATTTTCCAGTCATGAACTCACAGATCTGGGGTTAGGGCTTGCACCGTGTCCCAAAATGGGGCTAAAAGGCGACGGCCGCTGGCCGTGACTGGGAGAGGACTGTGGGCCAGACGGACACGGTTGGTGGTGTCACTCTAGCCAATAGAACCAATAATTGTGTTGTTAATAAATTAGGGTTTTGATGTTTGATTTTCTTAATTTTTGTAATATTCATTTGTAAATAGTTTTTCCTATTTGTGTTAGATTTGAAATTTACATATGTTGCATTTTTTGTTAAAATTTGGAACCTGACTATATGGGTTGTTTGTACTCCCGGCGGAACCATTCGGGGCAGGACGGGTCGGCCCGCCCCGACGAGGGCCAGGTCTCGGGCCCGTCTTGGTGGACCCGTTGCGGGGCATGGGCCAGGTCGGGCCACCGGAGTAGGGTCACGGGCCAGGTCCGGTCACAGAACTACCCGGCCCGACCTGGCCCATTGCCATCCCTAGTGACGATTGGTTTGTTTGTGCTGCTCGGAAGGTTTATCGACCGGTGACTGGCTTCGAAGGACTAGAAAGTTTACCGATCCGCCAACAAACCCAGACGATCCGCTAACGCACGGCAGTGGCCACCACTGGCCACCAGCGACCTCCGATGACCACTAGTAGCCAACCCTCCTGGTGACGTGGATCGACAACCACAGTTCGAAGATGCCCCAAGCGATGCCAGAGTGACCAACATACCTATGAGGCACGGCGCAATGATCGTGAACGACGAGCAATTGCAGACGATACCCGACCATGGCAAGACGATCAAATGAGAAAATGGATGCGTCTTAGAACCGTTCGTCGGCTCCGTATGCCGTGTATGTCTGTACACAGTATGTAAAAAAAATTTAATCGCAAGTGTTCAAACCTAAACTCTAGTTCACTGTGTTTAGGTTTATTTCATAGACAATCCGTGACTTGCATAAATTCGACATTCCTAATTGAGCCCCAACACATCTTGTGACGAGTTAGTCAATAGCCGACATAATTGCATAAAGAGCACGAAAATTTGCTTTCTCTCTAAATTTTTCGTTGTCAGTCCACAAGTCTCATTTCTTTCAACCTTCGTATATGTGGTTGCCTCAATAGATGAAGATTCTTCCTTTTTGGGGGATGACTTCTCCATCAAGGGCAATGTCCAACCAATATCAATTATTTGCCACGTTCCCTTGCCTAATGACTGCAAGATAATCATCATCATGGATTTCAAATACGAGTAATTAACTCCACCAAGATATGAAGGGCGTAAAATACACATAGCGTTGTGGTTAATAGTCACCAACCCACAAGTCAGTCTGAAGAGGAGGAAGAGTATGTCGGTTCAAAGGGATCTAAGAAGTCAGATTGAGTTGGACATTCATTTTTTTTTTTTTTTTTTTTTTTTTTTTTGGATGTATTAAAAAAATATTAACTCTCGTTTGCTTGGAAATGTGTTGCCGTGGTGATGGACAACGTTGTTTTTATTTTTATTGGTTTGCTTAGGAGCTGTTCGTGGGCACATTTTTATATTATGTGATGCATGCTGGTTTTTAATCCATCTTTTGTGGTATTGCTATATGTTTTCTCGTGGAGGTACCTATTTGTTGTGTTTTTGTGTTTATTTTTACTTGATTTTTGTGGTGAGTCGAGTCATTTTTTGCTCTTATTCGTGTCGTTCCGGTCCATTTCACTCGTTCTTGTTATTTCTTATGTTTAGTATCGTTTTTCATCTTTTGTTGCCTTTCTTTGCATTTTTCGGTGTTTTGTAGGGTTAATGGAAGAAGATCGGTTGGAGATATCGACACCATCGAATTACATTTTTCAGCACTTATCCGTTCACGACCCGAACTCAAATTCACGAGCCGTCGAACTAGCTCTCGCCAGCCAACCCTCAGTCGTGGCCTCGCGGAATGGCCGAGGATTCAGTCTCACTTGCGCGCGGATGCCTACCCGCGACCTCGTGAACAATGGTGAACGGAAACCCGCAATCTTGCGAGCACTATCGATGAGAACCACAAACTCGCGCGTGGACGTCTACCCGCCAGCACTGCTGAGGAGAACTGAGAACTCGTGCGGGGACGCCGACGCGCGATCTTGAGAGCGCTGCCGAAGAGAACCGAGAACTCACGCGTGGGTGCTAATCTGCGAGCTCGCGAGTGTGCCGAGAGGAGACATGCCGAACTCGCCAGCGACCTGTCATCTGCGAGCTCGCGAGTGTGCCAAGGGACATGCCAAACTCGCTCGCGACCTGTAACTCACGTGCCCGCGACGTGCCGAGGGGATAGACCGAACTCACCAGCGAACTTAGCTTCGGTTACCTCGCCAGTTCAACTTCATTAAATGTATGTGTACCTAGTGTGTGTGTTTTTGGAGAATACTATAAATACATTTGCTCCCCTTGTGTGGGAGCACCTAGCACTCATTTTTATGTTTTTCTTCTTTAATTTGGATATTGTTCTTTGTTTTTATTTTCTCTCTACTCTTGGGGGCCTGAATCGTACTTTTCCGGCGACATTTTTCGGCGATGTTTTTATTATGCAAGTTTCATTTTTTTTTTTCTCTACTTCGTTCGAGCATGCATTAGGGATGTAAGTACCTAGATTTATGACTTGTTATCTCGGTTTTTGTGCTATTTTACTTACTCGGTTGTAGGGGTAATTTAGTGTCTCGTTCGTTTTTACCGTAACTTGGTCGTTTTAGTTTATTTTGTTTTCTTATCTTTCGTTGGGCTCGTCTAGTGTGTTTGGGTAGTTTAAAGTTCGAACCTTTGCTAGAAAAATCGAGACTTTATCATAGAAGTTCGGTAATTTCATGGTAAACCTTTTGAATTTAGCTCCTAGGTGCATTTGTTGTAGTTTGTTTCTCTCATTTTTGCCCTTTTATTCGGTTTGGAGCACTCATGTTGATTAAAGCTTAGGTTTTTAGTTAAAATTTGCATCTTTAGCTAATTGCTTGTCTATTGCCTTAGTTAAATTAGTTTAAAAATCTCCAAATCATCTTACTTAGTATGTTTAGAATTTTTTTTGCTCTTTTTGTGCTTTTGGGCAACTAAGTGGTAAGTGAAGCTCCAAACCGTCTTCCTTTGAGAGATGACTTGAGTTCGGATAACTCGGTTATCAACTTTATCTCTAAAATCTACTCAACAGTACCTCTCTTAGAGTTGTTCTTATGAACAACTAACGTTGATTGTCAGTTCATTATTTCTGTCTTGCCTTAGCCTTGGCTTATGCAAGTTCATGGAGACATGGGTTTTCGATTTATATTGCCAATGAGGATATTATTATAAATTAATTTGTTTGGCATCAAATTAGAAATTCCGAGTCATATCTTGAAGTCACGATCAAATCGGCAAGAAATATATTCTCTAAGTCAAAAGGAAGTTGAATTTATCTTTATTTCTTATTATCTAGCCTATTTAATTATGCACTAAGTTGTGTTTAATTATTTTATAGGAAATCGGAGAAGAGGATTGTCTGCCATACAAAGCAAAAGAAAATCTTATGAAGATTGCAATATGGCAGTACTTACCTGAAGTACAGAGAAGGACGCGTGGACGTACTTTCCATGTGAGCTGAAGCTTACAGACGAGGCAAGAGAAGTTTACCGTGTGCGAGGAAGGAAGATCGAATGAGATGGATGATTGGAGTTCAATTGAGTAAAGAAAGAACTTACCTTATGGAACAACGTATAGCGAGCATTGCACTGACACTCTTGTTACATACGTCTTTAATTATCTTTTGAGTGTTATGTGTAAGTTGCGTGAGTGATTGACTGATCTGTGATGAATTCATTTTATATTATTGAATATTCAAATTAGAGAGCATGTTCTCTTATTTGAGTGTAAGTATTTTACTTGAACATTTGAGGTGTTTGGAACGAACACTTTGTAGATCGCAAGGGATTCACATTTTAAAAGTCCACGAGTAGTGGCCGGGAAAGTAATTGAGTGAAGTGATTACTTCATAGGTTAGGAAGATGGAGTCTTTATTGTAAATCCTAGTTGAAATAGACCAAACACTTGCTTTAATGAAAGAGTTCCGAAAGAAAAGTGGGATGTTCTTCAGTTACTGTTTGAACTGCTTCTGCATTTTAGTGAAATAGATTTATTAGTTTCTATCCAAACTAAAAGAGCCCTTATTTATTGAACAAGAAGGAAGATAACAAAGTCAATACTCAATAAAGCACAGCGGATGACTTCACAAAGCATGTGGAATCAGGATCAAAGGACTAGTATCTTCAAACTTTTCCAGAAAGAACCTGACCGGATGGGCTAGGCTACAAGAAATCTCATTTAAATTAGCCAAGACCATTTCTCAACTTCATTTCTAAACTTATTATATTATATACAATATATAAAATACGTGCGGTCCAGATTCAAAATAAACCACCACGGATGTCTCGTCTATGTCATGATTAGTTGAAGTTTGTTAGTATCCTTACTTTTTTTTTGTGGGGGCTTTGTTTTGCACAAAGCACATAACTCCATTAGTCAAAAAAGCAGAGTTAGTGGCCATTTTTCTTCTGACCTTCCTCCATCTTTCCTTTCGGTTCTCCAAATTTCCGTGAACTCCCACCTGAAATCTTGCCACCTGTTTATTTTCCATTTTTCCTTTTTGTCTTTTTATTTTCTCCCTTTCAAAACTTGCCAAAAATCAAGGTTGGATAATAAAATTCAAAATCCAGAAGCTTATCATTACCATGTAAAGAAAATTTGGGGGAGGTGTAACGTTTCCAAGTAATCTGAGACTAATTACCATTCCATTCACATAAAGTCAAAGACTAGACCTTTTAATTTTTGAAAATTAATTTACGACTGATGATGTTGGTTTTGAGGTTGTGTGCAGAGAAAGAGTGATCACAGTTCACAGTTCACAGTTTGGGCTATGGGTTCGGACAACAATTATATGGCTAAAGTAATGAGTGGCGATTTTGGTTACACGCTGGAAGATGTGCCTCACTTGTCTGACTACATTCCTCATCTCCCTGTAACTATCTATTTCTCTTTCTATATGAATATGCCAATTTTTAACATTTTTTTCTTTTCCTTTTTTGTGAAATTTTACTGTTATGTCACCTATAAATATGATGATTTTTCGGTTTTCTTATTTTTGTTCTACTCTGTTTATTACTCTGTTCTTGTCCCTTCGTTTCAGTATTGTTCACAATATATTATTATCTTGTGTCAAAAATAAAATAAAGAAAGTCTTGTTGGTCTAGGAATACAAAAGGTATATACCTGGCATTTATGCCGTCATTAGAGAGATTAGCATTTGTGTTAATCGTTGACTGATACTTTTTGGTTATGTAAGGCTCAAAAGATGAAAAATAACTATTGTTGGTGGAAAGATGACATTTTTGCATTTTCTAGGAAATGCAGAATCAATTTACCAAAATGGGGTAAAAAATAAAAATAAAAATTGGCTATGAATCATATTTCTACAAAACAGTGGTTACTTCATTCAAACAATGGCCAAAACACCAAACTAATATTCTTTTTATTGTTGGGAGTTTTGTTTTAACAGACTTATCCTAATCCCTTGCAAGACAATCCTGCATACTCAGCTGTAAGGTAGGTTTATAATATTTAACATGTCAATTTGATTTACTTGTTTCTCGAATATTGGCAGAGCAATCGTGTTTGAGCTGTTAATTCCCAAGTATTCAATATGTTCGTTTGTTTTTTTCCCCCTTTCAGGCAGTATTTTGTCGACTTGGACGACACCGTTGCCCAAGAGGCAAGTCATTTGAAAAAAAAAATAAAAACATAAAAAAATTAGAATCATGGGGTTTACTGATGTTGTGAATATACAAAAATTAGTATAAGTGGATAATTAATAATGTNTTTTTTACAGATTGTTGTTCACAAGGATACTCCAAGAGGAACTCATTTTCGGCGTGCTGGTCCTCGCCAAAGAGTAATTACTATCTAATCCTTCTTTTGTGCTTATGAATTTGTTTCTTTTGAAAGAAGATCTGTTTCTTTACTCTGTTCTCTTTTAATCAGGTTTATTTCGAGTCTGATGACGTGCACGCGTGTATAGTCACATGCGGAGGATTGTGCCCCGGCCTCAACACAGTTATCAGGGAGATTGTATGCGGTTTGAATCATATGTACGGCGTGAAGAGAGTCGTGGGGATAAATGTCAGTTTTGCATTTCGTTTTTTTTCCTAAAATCGATAATGTCTTTGTCTTAAATCATGAAAATATTTCAGAATTTGCAATTGATCTGTAGGGTGGGTATGGAGGGTTTTACTCAAGGAACACAATAGCTCTAACCCCAAACACAGTGAACGATATCCATAAACGAGGTGGGACCATTCTAGGGACATCACGAGGTGGCCACAACACTAAAAAGATTGTCGATAGCATTCAGGACCGTAGGATCAACCAGGTATATAAATGAATCCATTTCTTTACCAATTTTTTTAATTCTCTTTTGGAAAATTTTATCATCGAGCCATGCTGAAAAAAAAAATATAGGTATACATAATAGGCGGAGATGGAACTCAGAAAGGAGCTGCAGTAATTTTTGAGGTATTAATTGCTAGCTCACGCGGTGAATACTCCAAATATATAAAACCATATTTATATTTCTAAATAAAAAAAATAAATAAATATAAAAAAACGTTAATTGTCATTGTCTAGGAAATTAGAAGACGAGGCCTCAAAGTTGCGGTTGCTGGAATTCCAAAAACCATAGATAACGACATTCCGGTACGTACATACCTTTTGTCTACATTTAATATGAGATGCTTAGAAAAAAATCTATAACTATACCACCAACTGAATATTTCATTGAGAATATTACCTTTTTGGTGTAGGTGATCGACAAGTCATTTGGGTTTGACTCTGCTGTTGAAGAGGCTGAGCGTGCAATTAATGCAGCACATGTCGAAGCTACAAGTATCGAGAATGGAATTGGTGTTGTGAAGCTAATGGGAAGATACAGTGGTACTCTTGATTATTTTAAGTTGATTAGTATTTACTATATATATCTTGTTTAATTTTTTTTACATTTGCTCTTGTACTTATGGTTGTTTGCAGGATTTATTGCTATGTATGCTACAATTGCGAGCCGTGATGTAGATTGCTGCCTTATTCCTGAGTCTCCTTTCCATTTGGTGGGGCTTTTCGAGTACATAGAGAAAAGACTTAAAGAAAACGGGCATATGGTTATTGTCTTAGCCGAGGGTGCGGGACATGACTTAATGCTTTCTGAGAGTTTACTATCCGAAAATCAACAGCAAGATGTCGGTCTCTGGATCTCTCAAAAGATTAAGGTTTTTTCCGGAAAAAAACTTTTCATCATTCTTTGGATGTTGCGCGGCTAATTCATTTATTTCACATTTTTTTTTTTTTTTTTTTTTTTTGTTTATAACTCGGAATGTGGTTTGTAGGATCATTTTTCCAAGCCAAGGAAGATGAGTATTAATCTCAAGTACATCGGTATTTGTTTTGCAATTCACTCTGGCAGTTTGTTCTCTGCTCTCATATATATGTAAGAATGTACAAAGTGTGAATGTTTTGGGCCTTTACAGATCCAACTTACATGATTCGGGCTATACCAAGCAATGCATCGGACAATGTTTATTGCACGCTTCTGGCCCAAAGTGCGGTTCATGGAGCCATGGCGGGGTATACGGGCTTCACGGTGGGGCCCGTTAATGGAAGACATGTTTATATACCTTTCCATGTGAGTGACGATATTCACCAAATTAATGGTAGATACCCAAGCTTAGTAAGTTTTTGTGATTAACCAAAAAGAAGAAGAAAGGCTTGTAATTAATTGTTGTTTAATGCAGAAAATTAATGAGAAACAGAAGAAGGTGGTGATCACGGACAGAATGTGGGCACGGTTACTATCTTCGACTAACCAGCCGAGCTTCTTGTGAACCGAACTAGATGTTATCGATGCAGCCGAGCCATTCTCAAAAAATGGTTTCAAAGAGAATCGAATCACAAATTAAGATTATATATTGAAATAAAATTATGGCCATGTCCTGTGTATATATATATATATATATACACTACACAGATAACTATGCATATGAAAACATTCCACTACAGGCTAGCTGCTGGCTCTAACAGCCAATTGCGGTGTGTTGTAGGCTTGTAGCCATTGTTGCTGCTGGCTCTAACAGCCAATTGCTCTAAATAATACTATGCCACTTTTATTTAGAAAGAATCAATGCACATAATCCTTGTCAATCAATGCAAGAAATAGTTTCCATTAGGCCGCGTGAAGCGGCGACACCTCAGCTCGGCAACAGGTGGTCGATCGTGCTACAAAGGTGTGGCGGCAATAGGTCGGCTGTCGAGAGGGCGACCTCGGGACCAAGAAAGGAGGTCAGGTGATGATTTACAAACATCCGCCAAACGGGTGTTAGATGTTAGCATCAGGCCTTCGAGGCCGAAACAGTAGACTGGGTCATGTTGATGTGGAAACAAGAAAAAGAGACTCAGTCTGCACTTAAGTCTATTTTAGACCCAAGCAGAGATCTAGAACATGTTTGTTTATGAAAATTTTCAAAAAATTTCCAACATTTTAACTCAACAAATTTTTTTAACTCAATTTTAACTCAACCCCACTATTATCAAAATTATCAATATAATTAAACAATATCAATCAATCATTCATACACACCACATCAACTTTAATTCACTATTCACTCACTCACATTATTTTAACTAACCATCACTTCAAATTTCTCCCTCCTACTTTTACACCAAATCAAATTAACTATTTTATTTTAAATATTATTTTAATATATCCACTAACAACTAATCATACCACCTTTTTTAAAATTAACCAAACCAAATCAAAAAATTCAAACAAAACAAAAAAAAAATTATAGACAAACTAGTCTCTTGCATTGGAGTAAATTTTGTTAATTTTACGTTGTTTTATCCATATCATCCAAAACTTGAGTTTATTTATATGCCACATAGGCAAAATTAGACCAAAAGCATTGCAGATGCTCTTAATATACTGCTAGGAGTCTTGCTCCTAAAGTAACCTTAGCTATATAAGGATATCTAGGTTCTTTATTTTGACACAACACACATACACGAGCAGAATATATACATTATCATTAGACTATTATGGAAGGGGGACTAACTTTGGCGTCAGAGTATTTTTCTCCAGGACCCCTCCCGACATTTTGCATGAGTTTTACAGGTCACTAAAGGCGCCAAGTCAGTTCAACTCAATAGATCATGGTCCAACCGAATCATACGAGAATTTGCGCAACAGTACTAAATACCAAGGTTTTGAAAATTAAACCGGTCGTCGAATCGGTGAAGCTACTGGTTTACTAGCCGGACCAATGGTCAACTGGTCAAACCGGTTTAATAATATATATAATTTTATATTTATTTTATATGTATAATATATAGCAGTATATAGTTTTATCATTGATTTTATAATGTATAATGAGATTTCTCTAAATAAGATATAATAGATACAACAGACAATATTGCATAATGTTGATAGCTTTCTCTTGTTTTATTTTTTATATTTTCATCTATATTTAAGTTACATAATTGAGATAATAGATACAACCAAGTTTGGATTTTAGTTTTTAAATTAGATTTTATGTTTTTTATTCTTTTAAGTTTTTCTTTAACAAAAATCAGAAATATATGTTTTCAATATATATATTGCAATATCCACCAATATGTGTGTGTGTGTAAAGTATTGTAACAATATGTGTAAATCACATGTTGACTAGATGAAAAAGAATGAGATGTTTTTATTAAATTCTAAAATAAACCGAGTAATACTTAAATGAATAATTTTTTTCTTATTAAAATTATAAAATAAATTAAGTAATACATGAAAAGCTTACAAAGTGCTTTTCGTTATATTTACAATAATTTCTTACGTTTGTTGGGAACTAATAGTAACTTTGAAACGTTATTGAAAATAAAAACTTAATTATATTCTTAAATTTATATGAAACTATATATAATTTTGAAAGACAATAAAAACTCAAAAGATATTATATTGCAAAATTTACATGGATCTTGTATATTATCATTTTGGATTATTAAAAATGTTGCACATTTAGAAATACAACAATTATTTAAAAAAAAATAAAAACTCAAAATTAGTTTCATGTAATATTCCCATGTCTAATTTAGGGTAAAATCATAGCATAAAATACATCAATTTGTTGAAAATAACATTTGGGGTAGTTGAACGCATGTATACTTCCAAAATGCTAAGGTTTTGTCCCACCGAGTTTTTCTGAAATGCTGAACCAGCGGTACCTAATAGCCACAAGCTACTCTTCAAGATGTTCAGGTTGAATTCGGTTCCAATTAGTCTAGATATGTTTAGAAAATAGTCATTCAAATGAGAGTTACGAATTTATTACAATACGTGAACCTACCGTATTTATTACATGAAATGAGAATGACTATTTTGCTCATTATGTAATTATATTATTACGATTTGTGCCATCAGAAGTTTTCATATAAATAAGAGTTTCAATTATAATAAAATAATACGAAGATAATACATTTCTCTTTTTTCCTCTATTATTATAACAAGAATGAATTTTTTTAAGCTTATTTTCAATTAATTGCATTTTGCTCTAGCATTGAATAGGCTTGGTCAATCATATATATCTATATATATAATAAAAATAACCATTTACTAATACGAATAATCATGTATATCTATATATATATATATATATATATAATAAGAATAACCATTTAATGTATACTTTTTTTGGAATTTTTTTAAATATATACATTAATTGCTTCCATATACCGATTTCAAATAAAATCAAATCGGATATGATAAAAAATATTATTTCCTTAAATAATTTTATTAATATCTGCAATAATTTCATTGATATCCATTATAATAAATTGCAAGATTGATTTTCCGTTATTCATGTTGATAATATTTTGGTCAAGATAAATATTACAACATATTTTAAGTTCTAACCATAATATTATTTTTTTTTCACAAATATTCACTTTGTATCTAAAAATATTTATAGACAATCGTAACAAGTTAGGTAAAATTTTTGTTCCAATTAATCAGGTGAAATAAAGTTGGGGAGTTACTCTTTGCCAATATATTTTTTTCTTAACCTTTATTTCGTTATATATATATAAATAAATTATTCTTCAAATTAATAAAATTTACTATTTAAGTGATAATGACCAGATACATTAAGTAGTTTTACTAATGATAAAAAATTAAAAGTGAAATATATTAACTGTTCTTTATAATTTATTTGTATATTATTGGCAACCATGATTATTTTTTTTTATCATTTTTTATTTTGATTTATTTCTATAATGAAATTCTTATAAAATGTATTTTCATCGCAAAGTATGTTAAATAAACTATAAATCCTTATTATGTGAATTAGAAAAATTTTAATTATAAAAGGGATAGAGTTTTTCACATTTTCTAAATCAAAGTTGTTTAATTAGTATAAAAAATTAAATTCTAAAAAAACATGTGTGTATATTTTGTAAAATATTTATACATTATTTAATTTTACATTTATTTACATATATAAATTGGTTGCATAAATAAATAATACTAACGTGTATTAAATATTTTTCATTACATAAAATAAAAAAAACGTACAACTTTTATATCTTTTATAAAATTAAATTTATATTAGTATAATTGTGTTATTGAGATAATATATTAATTATTTTACAAGTTAGCACTGACATGCCCATATTTAATGTTATGGCTAAAAAACAACACTGATTAACTACATAAAAAATAGATTATAACCCTATTGTTTTTTTTATATTTAATCGCTTATTAAAAGATGTGAAAAATAGATGATATGGACACCTGTAAAAATAATTCATTTAAATATCTCTGTCCGTGCATCACACGGAGTATGTACTAATTTTTATAACAAGAATGATTTTTTTTTTTAAAGCTTATCCTTCAATAATTTGCATTTTAATCTGGCATATTTAATAAGCCTGTCAATAAATAATGATACCGCAGATATCACGATTTTCTGGCCTACATATCTCAACTAACCCTAGTAAACTATTAAATTAGTGAATAAATTAATGACAAATTATTTGAAGTACTGCATTCAGTAACTATAGATGCGCTGTGCAGTTGTCCAGTTGATAGTTAATTTCGTCCAAGTGACAACACTAATCCAAATCAACCTCACATTAATGTTTTAGTAGGTACAACTAATAATAATTAATTCATTAGGATAAGCAATATTCATGCGCTACATCAGAAATGTCTTATTGAAAGAAATAAAAACAAATTATTATTATTAAAATGATTCAACCGTTAAAAAAAGTCAAAGTAATACATTCATTAAGGTAATATAGTAAATTTATAAGAAAATTTCCAAAAAATAGTTAAATACAATGGGATCCATCAGAGCACCCACAATGCTTTAAGTCTCTTTTTGCATATGTGATAAATAAATAGACTTAAGTCTATAATGACATGTACAAACCTAAGCTAAAAAAATCCAAAATCAATCCAATGCAAAAAAAAAGTACTAGGTCTAGAATACCTAACAACCAATAAAAATATAATAATAGTAAATGATTACTATTGTAAGGTTCACACTTGGGTCCAAAATAGACCCAAGAGTGGACTTGGTCTCATTTTTTCATTGCCACATAAGCTAGACAAGGTCAACTTTTAATTGCATTGTGAAATACTTTTTTATAGACTAGGTCTATTTTTTACATGACATGTAATTTTTTGTCAAGGGACCCAAAACATTGTGGGTGTTCTTAGAACGCAAACCCACTCACACGTGGGCCCTGCCCCCAAACACCTCAACTACTTTCTCTCTCCTGTAACTAGCTTTACATTAAATTCTCTCTCTCTCTCTCTCTCTCTCACAAAACATCATTGGCAGCGAGCGTCAGATTTGGTGACGGAGAAGCCCTGTCCACTGTTGACTGCCGCCGACGACACTTCTGTTGCCGACTCCCACCGGCGACACTTCCGACACCGTGCACGACCAACAGCACAAAGCTCATTACCTCAGTCACGACCGACTTCTTCCGTCGATAGTCACCGATGCCATTGCCGTCACAATTTTCACCGCCATTTTCGCCTCCGACTCTCACCAGCGATACTTCTGACACCGTAGGCGCCCAACAGAAGGTCGGAATTTTGTTCCAATGCATCTAGAGGGCCGACTACGCCGGTGAGCCTGCACTTGACGACTGGTGCCGCAGCAGCGCCAAAAACCAACATCACTTTTTCCCGGATAACTAAACACACACAACACGCAGTCTGATCCATTTACTCCCGTCTCCGCTGCCATTTATTTTCCCGGATAAACCTCTGCCGCACACACACTCGCACACTGCGGAGACGGCAATCGCATCGGTTGTGCCAGAGTCACGGTGAGGGGGCAAGCACGACGGCCGTGCCGATCATGGTGCTGAATAAATGATTCTTTTGTTGAGGAATTAGTTTTGTAAATTAGATAAAATAAAAGGACTTGGTTGTAATTTTAGATTTTTTTAATTATATTTCAATTTAACCCTTGGGCTAAATCTATAATTTATAAAAATATATAAAAATTATTATGTAGATTACATATCTTTGTATACATACGTATATATATATATATTATTTATTTTGACTAAAAAATAATTTAAAAGAATATTAAAAAATATTAAAATACTAAATAAACTTTTATAATATACATAATAATTTTTTCGATTATTAAAGTTAATTCAATTGATCAACTAATAAAAAAAACCACGCATCACATAATACATAATATTTCTAAACATTGCACAATAGAAAGTATCAGACAACACAATAGTGTTAGATTGAATGCACATAATTCGAGATTGCATATTAGCATAACAATGTGTATTTCACACATATTAATTTTTTAGTTATTTCGCCTGATTTTGATTTTATGTAAAAACTAAAAAAGTGAATAACATAACCGATTGAATTATATAATAATATATTTTTTTTTTACAATTTATGTATATATAAACTATTTATTTTCGACATAAAATAGACAAATTATTCAATAAAAATTATAAATACTAAAATATATTTATTATTAAATAAGTTGATAAGTGCACGAATATTTAATTAAAATACACATTATTTATTTATTTTTTTAAATTGAAACGCACATAAACAAATACATGCACTATATATTGCACACTAATGTTAGATGAAATGCACATTATTTTATGTGGAAGTGCACAACATTAATTTGGTATGTCATATATTATATTTTTTTCAAATAAAATAGTATAAAAATATTAAATAAAATTAATAAATATACTAAAAATATTATTAATATAAATAATAAATTAGTTTGATTATTTAAGATTATCCGGTTAACTGACCGAGTAAATCAAATGATTGACTTCAATTTCAATTTTGATTTGTGACAAAAGTTCGGTTGGTCAAATTGTACAATATCGCCTGAATTTGTGCACAATAATGTCAGATGAGTTGCACATTAACGTCTGTCAGACTGCACATTGGTAGCAAAAACCTACGGAACCAAGTTTTTCGGTTCTAATATTTATAGACAAAATTTCATTTTTAGTCCATTATATTGGTAATTTTTCAGCAAATGTCCACCTTTTTGGAAGACATCAAACTTAGTACATTGAAAAACTCATCAAATAAGGTACACTAATCATTAGTGACAGGATAAAGGTCAGATTATCATGGGTTGAACGCGGGCTAATCACGGGCAAAAAATGTAGATTGTGCATATACTTTTGAACATGCAATTGAAAAAAGCAAACAAACTCAATTTTGTCTGAAATTTAGGCTATATGACTGTCTAGACCAAAGAATTCAGCGGTGGATCACATACTTGAAACTGACGTGAGCTATAATTAAGTTCAAAATATAACAGTCCAAATTATTTTTGGCAAAATATTTTACAAATGAAATCTAATTGAGCTAAAATTTGTGGTTATGATCGTCTTGATGAGACAAATTTAACAATGAGTCAACCGACTAAAACGTACACCATAAGACACCAAAATGGCCCCTAGATAGATTACAACGAATTTGAGCTAAAATTATTTTGGATGATAAATTGAGCAGACAAACAAACTTCAATTGAGATCGAATTTTGTGAGTATGACCGATTTGACAAGAAGAGTCCGATGGTGGATCACCCACCTAAAACCGACGCTATATGGAGTCGTAATTAACTCAGATGGAAAATAACTCAAACTATTTTGGATGGAAAATTAAGTGGGCAAAAGAATTGTAATTGGACTAAATAAAATTTTTCAATACGACTGTCACGACAAGAAGAACGGTAGGTCATCCACTTGAAACGGACATCAGACGACTTTTGAATTAGACCGGAAAGGAAATGACAAAATTTATCCTGTCACTAAAAATTAGTGTACCTTATTTGATGATTTTCTCAAAATAATGTATTAAGTTTGGTATATAAAAAAAAGTGGACATTTGCTAAAAAATGACAACTAAAAATAAAGTTATACCTCTATTCATTCTTGATCAGTTACTAATATTATTTGTACATTTNAAATTCTATTTGAAATATAAGAATATAAAAATAGAATTTAGGAAGCTAGAAGCTCTTGGACTCATCTATATAAAGAAGATGACCCAAACCTCTCAGTACCATTCAGCAATACCAAGTCCATATTCAGGCACTTACTCTTACTCTCAAATATTATCTAAAGATGGGATTAACAGGTAAGTTGATTGCAGCTATAGAGTTTGAGGCTGGGGGCGATGTGTTCCATGAACTGTTCAGGCACAAACCACATCATGTTTCCACAACTAGCCCTGACAAAGTACAGGGTTGTGATTTAATTGAGGGTGATTTTGGACATGTTGGCTCAATCATTTGCTGGAGGTACACTCATGGTGAGTCTTCCTACTTAATTTCATATTAATTTTGATCTATAATAATGATATATGTTTAATGTGGATTTATATCGTGCCATAGTTGACCGTAGGAGAATTAATGTAATATTATTTCAATATCAGATGGGAAAGAGAAGACTGCTAAGCAATTGATCAAAACCATCGATGAGGAGAAAAAGTTGATCGAGTTTCAGATGTTAGAAGGAGATCTGATGGAGGAGTACAAAGACTTCATCATAACTATCCACGTGGAGACTAAGGGCAATATTGATTTGGTTACGTGGACTATAGAGTATGAGATGCTCAATGAAAACGTCGAACATCCCATTTCACTGCTCGCCTATTTCATCGCTCTTACCAAAGATATTGAGACTCATCATGTCGGGAGATCTTAAATCTGCTCAACCTATCTATCAATCTTCAATAATAAATAGTGCACGCATTATAGAGCATGCCACCTCAGCATCTATGTATGTGTTCCTTTTGTATTTTCATTTTGCAATAAGTCAGCCTGCGTAAGGTTGGGGGAAAGTACTTTTATGTATTTTATGGTGAAGTGTGTAATGGTCTGTCTACATTGTGACCTTATGAATTTCATGAAATTATTGTTGTTGCGTGTATTAGCTTGTATGATAATATATATTCATTAATACTTTGGGGTGCTCATTATTTTTGAGAAAAAATTGCAATGTTGATTTATTAAATTTCATCCAATGGCATTTTTGTCAAATACCTTTGAAAAATTTAGAGATAAATTCTTATAGGATATCAGTAGGATTGTAAAATATCTAATTTGTTCAATTCAATTTATGATTGGTATTCATGAAATGAGAATAATATTCAAAATATATTCGAATCTGAATGCAAATATGCAAATAGTTGATTCGAAATAATGACTCCTGATATGATTAGTAACTTAGTTTTGGATCCACATGCACCCAATCCATAAATAACAATTCATTCCATTAACAGGAATATTATTGAACTTTCTATTAACTCAAAATTATGTATAATTAATTTATCTACTCGATTTATCTCCCCATATTTAGTTGTAATGTAAGTAATAATTTAATTAACACTATTACCACTTAACCTCATTATGTCGGATCTTAATCCACTTAAATGGTTTATCATAATAATCATTTTGAGCTAATTTTGGTCACATCATCAACCTAGCCTGGCGCACTAGGACACAATATTCGTAAATAGTCAACGACACACCATATACTTGCCATTATTTACCAAAACACCGAGGTGTGAATCAAATAAATAATAACCAAATACATTTTGAGGTGGCTTATTTTATAGTCCCAAAGATCGGAAGGTCATCGTTAGCACACATGCACGATTTTTGGAGGAAGGCTACGTTATGAGCCACAAGCCCATGAATAGATAAATCTTAGGGGAAGTAGGTGATAGGGCATTTTAAATACCACGTGTGCAAAATGATATATATACCACAAACAATTGCACCGCGTGTCACACAAAATACACCTTTGCCGGTAGATCTCACTGCAGTGAACAAGAATCGAATCCCTAGACCTACGACGAAGCACTCCAAGACAAGGATGCGTATTCTTGAAAATTAGCGATGAAATCTGAGATCGTCTCGACTCGAACAAAGTATGGGAAATTGTGGATCCACAAAGCGGTGTAAAAGCCATTGGATGCAAATGGGTCTACATACGGAAGATAGGATCATAGGGTAAGGTAGAAACCTTTAAGGTGAGGCTTGTAGCGAAAGGGTACATCATAAGAGGGAATTGATTACGGGACGACCTTCGCCGATAGTCATGCTTAAGTTTATCCGGATTGTTTTGGCCATTGTTGCTCATATGGATTATGATATTTGGCAGATGGATGTCAAAACAACTTTTCTTAATGAAAGTCTTGAGGAAAACATCTATACGAGGCAACCCGAATGTTTTATTGCTAAGAAGCTGAAGAAGTTCATTTATGGACTTAAGTAGACTTCAAGGTCTTGGAATATCCAATTTGATGAGGTAATCCATTCTTATAGATTTACTCAGGATGGTTATCTAAGAAGTTTGATATGAATGATGTAAGAGAATAACATATATTCCTGGGATCAAAGTAATAAGAGATCACCAGACAAGAATGTTTTGTTTATCCTAAGCTTCATACATAGATGTTGTCCTGGCACGTTTTAACATGCATGATTCCAAAAGTGGATATCTTTCTTTTCGACATGGACACACTCTATCTAACGATATGTGTCCTAAGACACAATATGATATAGAGGACATGAAGGCGGTTCCTTATGCATCAGCAGTACCAAAAATTGGCCTAGGCGCTAGGCGCTGCCTGGTCGCCTCCGATTTGCATAAATCAGTAAAAAAAAATCAGCCAGGCGGCAGCTAGGCGGCGCCTAGACGGGCCTAGGCTCCTAGGCGGGCTCAGCGGCTAGGCGGCACTTAGGTGAGTCTAAGCGGACCTAGACGCTCCTAGGCGGGCTCAGCGGTAACTTTTTATTTTTTTTTATACTAATGACATTTTTTTGTTATCATGTTTTATTTATAATATATTAATATTATTATCTGGACTTACATATGTTGATTTATTATAAGTTGAGATAATTTTATTTTATAAGTAGTGAAAATAAATAAAAAAATAAGATATTTAAATTTGATTTTTAGACCGCCTAGGCGCTGGACGAGCGCGTAGCGGCTTATAGAACACTGGTTGTAGGAAGCCTATGTATGTTATGCTATGTACGATTTTACCCTAGGCATGGTCTAGATATGAGTAACCACACATAAGTCTTGCAGTGAAAAATATAATCAATTACATGCGAAGGACTAAGGATTGTAACTAGTATCTTGGAGCCCTTTGATTATTCACACACCAAGGTGCACGAATATTTAACATTACAAAAATATTATTTTGGTGAAACATCATAGTACAAACTTACACAAGTTCTCAGTTAACATTGCCTCATCTCTTACATTACCCTTAAAAGTACACAAATTTGAGTTTTGACTAACACAATGAACACAGTCCAATCTATCTAACGCAACTGATTTAACCCATGCACACATAGCTGTGAAACCCACCTAACTTTAGGCACAACTAACAATTAATCTATTCAGGAGACGTGACAAAAACAATTAGAATCCATTCAAAGACCATGTACTACAGAGGAATAGTTGATCAAAAGAATCAAACTACGTAATGAACAATCACCTTGTTTGAGAAAGGAAAGAGCACAAATATATAGGAAAACGGAAGTGCAGAAAGTTCATTCACAAAATTTACATTTGCATATAATAGTACAACTTTTCACATTGTTTTTCAAATTTCATTCGATCTGCAATAGTAAGAAGGGAAGACACTGTGCTACAAACAACAAGTCGGCAACATTTTCTCATTTTCAGAACTCCAACTCTAGAAGTTCAGTGCTTCATTTACATATATACAGAAGGCAGGTATCATTGCCACACTTGAGCAAGAGGCAAGTGGAGCATTTAGCAGAGTTATCCCCCAAAGTGAAGTACATGAGTTCAAACAAACCAATGACTAAGGTACCGTACGACACAATCTATCACAGTTACCCTTACATTCTTGCATACCAACTGTTGACAGTTCAGTGTTTCATCATATTCCCAAACATTCCTGAACTCAACATAGCAAAAAGTACTACTTTGGTGGATTACTGTTTTTGACCAACTTCATGCTTATCTTCAGGCAAGTCTATTCATAAAATAATATAGTATATTCATCTTGAGAGCTCATTTGCTATATGCCATTCGAAATCCACACATCTTCTGTACCCTCTCTCCACATTCCCCAATTCCATCTCACCCGAACACAATGTGCCATACATCTCAAGATAAGACTACTGGTCACATTAGAGACAACATCACGGTGGACAAACAATGTCATGTTAGAAAGACCACTACAATTATCCAATAGAGAGAAGATGGTGGACAGGGTAACCTCTATATCATTTACAGTTAAATACGCTTTAATCTCCTTCAATCCCTTAGCCCGAGCCCTCATCTCCAAACCCCCGAGGCCAGGGCACATTTCAAGCTCGGACCAAACACGAGAAGTCAAAGTGAGAGAAGTCATATTTGGGAAAGTACAAAACAGCAACTCGAGAATAGACTTGGAAACACCAACTGGTGCTTCCCATTTAGTTGAGACAGCAGTTAGATTCTTGACAGCTCGGCCAAAAGGAAGTAACGCGAGCACATTACGCAGACATGCGGACTCAAGATGAAGTTTATTCAATTGAGAAAACTCCTTCACTTTCAAATTGCAAGCTCCCTCGAACGAAAGACTCAGGTCAGATAATGATGGAGAGTCGATTAGGAGTAGTTTAGGTTTCACGCAGCTAAGGGTGAGCTTGACAAGGCAGGATGCAACTATGGATACAGTAGTTGGAGCATTAGACAATATCCACTTACAGGTTCTGAGGTGCATGAGATTAATTTGGGGATCTTTAAGTCCTCCAACGCCAATCAAGTTGAGATTTTGCAAACAGGGGAAGCATTCGTTGAGCTTCTCCAAGTTCTCATCATCTAATCTTATGAATTCGAGAGTCAAGGTTGTGAGTTTCGGCATGGTCGTCAGGCCATCAACTGATAGCCATGCGTTCTTGATGTCCAACTCCAAAAGCTCACGGCCTGCAAATAAAGAAAAGTCTCGTTAGATTCATAATATGCCACTGTTTTATACTTTTTATCCATTCAAAGTTGGACGAAACAAACATTTTCAGTCCTGTAAAGCACGCAAGATCAATTGAAGCAAAAGAAGACAGGTTCAGGTGTCTACAGCAGCAACTGTAGAACTTGAATGCACCCCAATTCTTATTCCCTCTATATTTAATTTAGTATATCTGTGGATCCACTATAGAACTCAAAGTTTGCCACTTTCTGTGAATCATCATAAATTCCTGGATAAATGAGAACGGTTGCATACAAAAGCCCATTCTCACTATTGCATTGAAACTTGAATCCAAAAGGCAATACCTAAGAGAATATCCACAATATTTCATAAAGCAGTGCTTTACTCCAATCAAACAGGTGAAAATATAACTCTCACCATATCCCAAAAAAACCCAAGCATCTATCTCTGCACTTATTATAAAAACAAAGTATTCAACCAAAACACAGGGGAAAGGGAGAGAGATGTTCACAATAACAAGAAATGAGAGCGAGCACATCAGATCTCCTCCAGCAAGACTGCAACCAGAAATTAGAAATCGCAATTGACTTCAGGTCTCCGCGAACCCTGGGAAGCCACGTCCCCACGAAATTGACGTCGCTCAAGAACAAATCATCATCTTCGTCCTCGAGGTCGTCGTACGCCACTTCCCGCAGCGTCTTGTCGACGCCGATCGAAACAGTTTCCACGATCTGCAATTCCGAAATCAACTTATTGAAAACGTCCTTGAATGGGGTGACGGAGGACCGAGTGAGAGGAGATCGGGAGGCGGAATAGCGGCCGTAAGAGCAGTGGAGGTGAACAGATCGGAGCTCCGGCGCGATGGAGTTAAGGGTTCTGGAGGAGACACGGCAGCGGGCGACGTCGGCTGAGTCGTGGAGGCGGCTCAAGATCTCGAGGAGGAGAGATGGAGGAATGTCATCCATGAAAATTGCGAGTGAGCCAATTGCATAAATATCTTCGTGTCGGTATGAAGGGTTTTATATGTCGTACATGGCATGGTGTGAAATTATTAAGATGCCCTCGTTCTTTTTCTTTGTCTTTGCTTCTCCAAATCAACAAAACGGTGCCGTTTCTTATAACTCTTGACTCAGTGAAGGAACTGGGAGAGAGAAAACATTCCCATCTAGTGCACCTCTCTCTCTCTCTAACCCGTACGCAACTCTCTCTCACACCCCCACACACACTGAAAATGGCACCCAAGTCCAATTAAATGCCTGCCGAGAAGAATCAGGCGGAGAAGAAGCCGAAGGCCGGCGAGAAGCTGCCGAATGAAGGCGGCGCCGCTGCCGCCGGCGACAAGAAGAAGAAGAGAGCGAATAAGAGAATAGTGACGTAAAAAATCTACATTTTCAAGGTACCCGGACATCGGGATCTCTAGACATGGGCATCATGAAAAGCTTCACCAGAGACTTTTTCGAGAAGCTCGCACAGAAGGCATTGCGGCGCGCACGGTACAACGAGAAGCTGACCATCATCTCCCGGGAGATTCAGACCGCCGTGAGCCTGGTGTTGCCAGGGGAGCTAGCCAAGTACGTAGTATCTGAAGGTATGAAGGCCGTCACCAAATTCACCAGCTCTTTATTTGGTTTTAGTTTGTGTGGTAGTTTGAAATCAGGGTTTCTGATTTGGGAAAAGATTGGATTCTTTCGCTTCCCAAAAAATTTGAAATCAATTGTATGTGTAAGGAAGAAAAATAGATGAATATCAGTTCTTATAAGAATAAGAAAAAATGGTTGAATATCAGTTTTTATAAGAATAAGAAAAAAGTATGGTCAATATAAAATGGGACTCGACTGCAGTAAAAATAATGTATCAGTTTTTAGAACCAGAGAACAAAAAAAAAATACCCATATCTTGGACTCAATTGTAAATGATGTTTGCTTCCTCTGAACTTTCTACTCGCAATCCATGATCCACAAGTTGCCAAAAGACCACCAGTTGACTTGTTTCTTTGTTTGTCAACATCATCAAATTTATTGTATTTCCCAGTTTGTGTAAGTGTAATACTATCAGGACCTCCAGAAACAACTAATGCTCAATAGAATAGTTAAAACACCAAATGAGTTACCACCTAATGTATAGAAAAAGATATCAGATATGGTTTAAAAAATCTTGACGTTCAAATTGACCCCAAAAAATATAGCATCTGAAAGAACACATAAATTTTATGCTACATTCATTGATAAAAAAAGTATGTCAATATGAACATTTTTAAAGACGATAATGCTGAAAAGCACATGGATTCTAACAATACAAATGTTGGTAAGCTTTAGCCTTTATGTTAGTGGAGAACAAAGGATACTATTGTACAACAATAACAACAACAACATACCCAGTACTTTCCCAACAGGTTGGGGTCTGGGGGGTCAGTTGTACGCAGACCTTACCTTTGTAATACAAGGAGGCTGTTTCCGTAGCGGCTCAAGGTGCATTGCGCCATTTGATATATTCTTTTTTTTTTTTCTAGAAATTCCACTAATAGAAGAAACACTAGAATTTAATTGAGTCATTTTGATCTAGTCCATTATTAGCACTATGTCAGGAGAATTGTCAACAATGACTCTTCCAGCTCCATTTGCAATGGACAACAACAAAGGATACTATTGTATTTCCCAAAAAAAGAAATATTGTGGGTACAAATATGTGTACATTTTAAATTCTTAAAAATGCTTTCCTTGTTATGTTACATATAAAAGCAACAAAATATGACTGAAATATTCGCTATCCCTCAACATACTTCGTTAAGTTGAAGGCAAAATTATAGTGTGAGAATACCATATCTACATATGAGGAGCCATTTAAGTTTTCACCACCCTATGATAGCTCTTTTACATTCTTAATGGTATTGTGAATGCATTTTTCAGTGGAGTTATTATGATTGAAAGAGTCAGTTCCACTTTCTGATGCCTTACTATCCACACTTGAAGGGCAAACATAAAACAAATTATGTAACATAGGAACTTTTAAACATAGTCAAACCTAGAGGACTCCTGAAAAAATCAATTGTACCAAAAGTTCTGCCCTTGTTTGCTTTTTAACTCCATAGGGAAACTGGAATCTTTCAGGATGCTGAAACACTTGCTTGGAAGATAATCATGTCGATTGTCCATAACATAATACAAAATATATTAAACCAATCACTAAAATTTGAACCCAGCATGCACATTAGGCTTAAAAAGAATGTTTAGTTGTCGAGTCCAAGGATGGCGATAAAGTGCAAGTGAGACTCTCTTGCCTGTCTCTAATCCTTTTCACTATTGGCTAACTGATATCGTAAATTGAAGACTTCCTTGTTGTTGCTAGATGACGAAGGTACAACAAGAAGCCGACCATCACCTTTCGGGAGATTCAGACTGTCGTGAGGCTGGTGTTACCGGGGGAGACAGCCAAGTACGCATCTGAAGGTATGAAGGCCATTACCAAATTCACCAGCTCTTGAATTGGTTTTAAATTATGTGGTAGTTTGAGATTAGGGTTTCTGACCCAAATTGTTGTACAACAGCTAAAAGTGTCTCGGCTGACTCAGCCGCTCTACAATTTTGTTCGTACAGTGGACACTCTCTTCAACAGCTTCGACGACAACAAAAAACACACCAGCCAGGTTTATTTCAAAAAATATTATTTCTTTAATAATTTGTTCTTTGTTCTTTAGGGGGTTTATTTTCTGCGCATTAAAATCTATGACCTGTTCTATTTCAGTGTGCTTGGCAGATATTCGGTGTTGTATTTTATCAGATGGATTTTGTGCATGTGCGATTTGATCTGATGATGATGTGTTAATGTGTGTATGTTCATGATATGTTTGTGTTTTATTGACGATAATCAGATATTTTCCGAAAATAGAGGGGAAAAAATATGTTGGGGCTTATAAGGCAAAGAGCAGCCTGCAAATGCAGTTGTGCTCGTACAATTCATTAGATACATCAGACTTCCTATTACCCTTCAGTATTTGACTTGAGATAATTTTTTCGCCCTTTTGATAGATGTTAACTTGTATGTATCAGGGTCCTAGCCTAAGTCGAATCATCCTTGTTAAAATTTTCAAGAATTTTCTCCAAATAATGCTTCTTACTCAAAACAATTCCTTGTGACGTTCTTTGAATTTTAATTCTCACAGTCACATCAACTATACCTATATACCCATATCTTTGATGTCAAATCTGGAATTTAACATATCTTTAATAATTATATCATTGTTTCTTACAATAAGCATGTCATCTACGTAAAAACATAAGATTATATAACTCTTTTTTGTGTATATAAATACATTCATCATATATAAATCCACATTCAATCATGACTTATCAGACTTCTCATGCCATTTTTTTTTGGAGCTTGTTTTAAGCCATACAAAGACTTAATCAATTTACAAACTTTATTCTCTTGTCCCGGAGTAGAGAACCCTTCAGGTTGCCATATAAATTTCTTCTTGTAAATCTCCATTTAGAAAAAAGCTGCTTTCACATCCATTTAATGTATTTCAAGTTTTCTTAAAGTTGCAATAATTAACCTGATGAATGTCATCCCCGTTATAGGGGAACATGTATCAAAGTAATCATGGCTTTCTTTTACTATATAACCTTTAATCATGAGTCTAACTTTATACTTATCAATTGCTCCATCATGTTTCATTTTCCTTTTGAAAATCTATTTATATTCCAATGGTTTACTTCATGTAAGAACATCCACTAGCTCCCAAGTGTGATTTTGCAAAATAGAATCAATTTCATTTTTTATTGTACCTTTCAAAAAAGGTCGTTCAGAAGAATGTACTGCTTCTAAAATAAGTTTGTTGTTCACTTTCGACCATATAGGTTAGAAAATGTGGATCAAAAGATTTTTTTATTCCACATCTCTTTCTTTTTCGAGGTTCTACCTCAATATATTCATCTTGATTTTTTTTATTATTTCTAAATTGCATTTAGTGGAACTAGAATCCAGCAGTCTTACGTACGTGGAAATAGATGCTCAAAAAATGAAGCATTTTTATATTCAAGTATTGTATTCTTATGAGTTTCTTCAATTTTGGACCCATGACAAGAAAACAATAAGAACTAACAATAAGAACTATTGTTGGGTGCATATACAATAACTATGCAATCAACAGTTTTTTGTCCAAATTTTATTTTCTTTGGTGTAGGTATTGCTACCTTTGCCAGACGCCCCCACACACGCAAGTATTTGTCGGATGGTGGTCTTCCGTGCCATAATTCAAATGGATTTTTGTCTAAATTTTTACGTGGAACATTATTTCAAAGGTAATTTGTTGACAATACAGCTTCTCTTGACATGTTCAGTGAAAGTCCAGAACTTAACAACATTAAATTCATCATTTCTTTTAGAGTACGATTTATTCTTTCGCACACCCATTTTGTTTGTTGCTGTGAATAAGGTTTTGTCATTTCAGTCTTATCTCATGTTGAGCACCAAATTCAGTGGAAGGTGACTCATATTCACCTTCTATGTCATCTTATCACCTTAATATTTTTATTTAGTTGATTTTCAACTTCATTAGAAAAAAAAATTCTCTATAGCTTCATCATTACTTTTGAGAAGATACACATAACAAAATTTAGTGCTATAATCTACAAAAGTAATGAAATATTTATTTCCATCACGTGTCGTGACAACTTTTAAATCACATATTTCCGTGTGAATTAAATCAAACGGTTCACTATTTCTTTCAATAGTTTGAAATGATAATCTTGTCTATTTTGCATCAGCACAAGTTTCACACTTATGTTTTGGAACTTTTCAATTTTATTAACCTGCACAGAGTATTATAATGACATGTCCCAATCTACCATGCCATGCAATGGAAGACTAAAGCATATAAACGGAAAAGTTAATATTTTTATTAATTTTCTACACATTGAACATAAAAAGCCCATTACTTTAATAACCTTTTCCTGCAAATGCTTAATTTTTGGTAAAAATGACCTTATTAGATTCAAACTTTACACGACAACCATGTTTGATCAACAAGGACTCTAGGCTCTTGCGAATTTCTGGTACATAAAGAACATTATTAAGAGTCCAACTCTTTTGCAGATGTCATCTTCCGTACTACTTTTCTCACTCCTTTGATGTCAGATGTGGTAGAATTTCCATGAAGTGTTTTTCTTTAGCCACAGTCACGTTAATGACACTAAACAAATCCTTGTTTGAGAAAACATGACGATAGCACTGTGTCAATCCACCATACACGTGATTTTGAGCCCACCAGATTCACCTCAGTTGTCACTACGGCGAGGTGCATCTCATCAAAATCCTTGTATATGTTTTTCACCATTGGGCTTCTTGATTTCTCTTTGGTAACTTGCAATCAGATGTCTTATGGCTAGTTTTATTACAGCTAAAACAATTTCTAGAAAATCTTTCCTTGGAATTTTGTTTCTATGGCCTCAATATTGCCTTGCCAGAACAACCTGTTTTTTCTTGATATTTTAATATGAACTTTCACCTTGCTAAAAATCATGCCTTGGTCAAATAAGGATTAACCAATTTATTGTCGTAGTCCTTGTTATCTTCTTCAATTCGAAGAACAATGAGCTCTTCAACAATCNACTATGAATATAAACGAAAATGATAAAATTTTATAAATAAAAAGAGACAACGTAAAATAAATAAATAAATAAAAATATTATTTTATTTTTATTTATTAAATACTGGTTGGTGTATTGGTTAATAATAATCGCAAATACTTTTCTTAGAGGTGAACAGAAGAAAAGCTTGTATTATTACCGAACATATTTGTGGATACGTGGCCCGTGGGGTCCATTATCACTAAAACTTCAAAGCCTTTGTCCCCTCCAAACTCCAGAGTCTTCTACTTTTTGTCGTTTTTTCTCCGCATCATACCCGTTATTCAATGTTGAAAATATCTCACCATGTGAAAACAAGACTAAAAGAAACATAAATTTTACGCAAATTATGCCTCTTTAATTGTTGAAAACAAAATTATTCCTTTAATGTCACTTTCAGTATTGACTTCCCCCGGCATGCTTTTCTTGACTCTTTATCTTCAGAAAGTTGATACTTATGCCGGCCTGATTGGTGATATTAGTTGAACTACTGACTGACTTAAAGAATTTCAAATTTTATAGCTTTGTCTTTTTTGAAAATATGAAGCTCTGAAGTGAAGTACTGCCAGACCCATTTCATTTCAAGATTCTTTATTCTAGCTACTCTCTCTATTTCAAAGAAGAAAAAATACGTTGGCTAAGGTT